TTTCATGCTTCGGTTGGGACTGATACGGCACGCAAGCTTGTTGCAGCAGAGTCAACAATAGTTTTCTTCATCCCTCAAGTAGAGATGCCCCCAATTTGGCTGTTAAGCATTTCAGCCAATGCAACTCAACAGCCCTTTGTTGAGCTGTAGCAGAGGTCTTTTCAGCAACAATGTTCTTTGAGGCCATTGCAAGATTTTTCTTTTTTGAATGTACAGAAATAGAGATGAGAGGCAGAAATTTCGAGTCTTAATAGATAAAGACGGGAAATAAAGTAACAAATGAATTTATATTAATTTTTGAATTGGGTACAATCTCTGTATAACAGTTTATAATATAATAAACTAAGTCCTCTGATTCTGTTCCGCATCTTAACGATGACACGTGTGTGACACCTGTAGGATGACGTTTGATGACGTCGACTTGGGTTTGAATGCAGGGAGACGTTTGATGATGTCAACCTGTATTCAAGGGTTTTGTTTTAATACACTTGAACGAGGGCTTATGAAGCTTAATCCCGTTCAAATGTATTTGAGTGTATCTGAACAAGTCGGCACGGATTTGATGTGCTTCTTGACTTATTCCAGAGAAAATTCCAGTTGTTTTATGATCTCTTAGTAATAATGACTTCTGGATCCTTTCAACTGATGGAGGATTGGGTATTTATAAGGGATGAGAACCCCTTGAGTGGACTTAGTAGGTTTGGGCTTAGCCCATTTAATGACTTAGAAGTCTTTTAACCTGGTTCATTGGATTTATTTTATAACCCGAATTGTAATTGATTAATTCGAATTATTTATTTGGGTGGGCCAAAAATAATTAAAATGGATCATTAACATGATTTAACCCAAATTAATTTATTTAATTTAATGTGTGACACTCGTAAAATTTCCGTGTCTACAACTTCGTATCTAAGATAGCTAGCATTTACATATGTTCCCTTTAAATACGACCTTAAAAGAGAATTGAATTTGCATCAAGATTGAAATATAAAAGTTGAATGGGTTATGTTCAACTGTTCACTGGTACTGTACTCTATCCTCGATGTGCTGCTACAATTTTATGTGCTATATTTGCTTTTGCTCAGATAAAGATGAAGAAAGTGAGATAGATCGAGAAAGGTCTTATCAATAATTCAGAAGTTTCTAAAAAAAGAATGAAACTGTGCAAAGTCAAGTTTAATAGTAGATCTAATCATTAGTACCAATTTCGTTAATATCGTACCTCGTCTATAAAGCAACTGCATAAAAGTATTCATATCATCTGTTGCAAAGATGCTGTTTCCTCTAGGGGAAAAAAAGATAACATTAAGAATTTGTAAGATGATACTTGAAATCATATGAACCAATTATAACAAGCATATCTATTTCAATTCATTTAATTGATCCGAATTAGCTATACATCCACTAACATGTTACGGTCTTACAAATGAATATTTAGTGAACGTTTTTCTTAATATGATCATAAATTTTAGGGATTGATAATAATTACCTGCATTCATTGTCTTCGATTTTATAGATAAGATCAATTTCGACCGCAAAGCTTAGTCAAGAATTTTCTAATATGTTATAACTTCGATGCATTTAATGCATGGTACAAAGTACAACATACGAAGTATATTTATCGAAATATTATTGGATTATTCATCATCAAGTCATTCGTTATCTAACTAAATTACTATACAATAATCTGTTTGATTTGTTTTGTTGGATCAAACAGCTGTGATGAATTAAATCGATAGTCTAGTACAAAAAAACCTAAGAGAAATTAAAAAAAAATGTATTATAAAATCGTCATATTATAGATGTTCATATATTTACATATTGTGCTTTTAAAAATCAAGTGAGAATGAAAAGTAATACTCCGTACATAGTACGAAGTATATTAAAATCATATGAATTGAAGTATCACTTCAATCAAATAAAAAGTACATTAGAGATTTAAGATGATTTTAAATAAAGTACGGAGTAACAATTACAATTAAGGATAAAAGTTCATATGTTGAAATTCGAGCAACTTTTTTTTTTGTATGTAAAATAGGTTATGTTACATTTTTTTCATAATGTTAATTACACAAATTACTTTAATTCTTAAAAGTCAATTGTAAATATCTAATTGACAATAATTTGTAGCAATTTTTTTTTATCATGAAAGTACACCTAAAATTACTTATCTCTCAAGTGTTTATTTATTTATCCTCATGTACTCCAATATAGTTCCAATGTATTGTGTTATCTCTCAAGTCTCAACTACATACAAGTAGAATTACCAAACAACCTCTCATATTAATGGTAAGTTTTTATACAAACAAGGAAAGTTTGGGAAATCAAAGTGCAAAAGTAGGCTAAATCTCCAATTTGGTAATCTAGGAGTTGAATCGTCTCTTTTCACATAGCTCTCCCCAAATTCATTAGTGATGGTGACTAGTGATTTCAGCACTTGTCCAAATCAATGCTTTTGTTTTTTCTTAACATGGTACTAACACACCAATTAGATTTTCTGTCTTTTCCTCCCCCTCTTTCGTACTTTGCCCTATTCTAATTAAGCACTAAAAAAGTGAAGTAAATTTCTAATCTAGAAATTCAAATTTTATAGATACATAATTTAGGACATTCATCACACTTTTGTTACAAAGTTGCAAAGGAGTTGCTCTTAGTTTGGACTAGTCTTTTGATGCCACCTTCACATGTGAATTGATATTACTACTCCGTAACTTCCTCAATATATATACACATCCCTGTGTCTTGGTCAATTTTATTTTGACAATGATTTTGAAGCGGTAAAGAATTTTATTTAAAGCTAATCGGTAATGACAATCTTATCACACGACTCAATTAAGTTTGGTTAAAGTCTTAAATGTGTTATCAAAAAATTGAGATTATATATATCCCGTCTACATCACTGTCATTAGTAACTCTCTCCACACAAAAAAATAACAAACCAATAAATTCAATGTGAAAATCATAGTGTCGTTATTTAATTTATTGTGCCTACTATGACGATTTAGGTAGAGTAGTTTTATATTGTAATTCTTTCATTGCCTTAATTAATAGAACATTTCTTTGAGCTACATCTACCAAAAATTTGTAACTGTTTATGAGAATTATGATTACTTTGTAAACCCTTGGGCAAGTATTTTAAACAGCATAAGGTGAACATGTTTAATCACCCTACTCAAGTCAAATATACGAGGGCATTATTAAATTCTAACTCATACAAATCCTAGAGAATCATTATTATTAGGGTTTATATATATTAGAACGGAGAAAGTATATAATTCGTTGTAATCTTCTTTATTTATTTTTGATATGCATATGAATTTTACTTATCAACAACCATTCTCAAAAGGGAGTCTTTGTACTTGAAATTTTTGAAAATTTATCGCTTTCTTGGTACAAACAATGATGTTGAACCACCCTACTCCCAGTAAAAGTATGTACGTTCAAATCATAATAACTAACCTTTGATAATTACTAATGATAATGGGCGCGCCCTCCTTAAAACTAATATTAGGTCATGATCTGCTTTCGTACCATGTATTACAACATGCATATTATTTAGAAAAAAGGGTAATTACACGTACGCCTTTAACAATGGGTGATGTGATCTAATTAACGGACTTAGTCACTTAGTCGAAGAGTATGTGTCGAATGTCCTATATCGGTTGCACCATACACAAGGCACACCATTACTCATTTTTTGCTCATGTGTAGCTCTTCAAATAAGAAAGACATAGGCATGGTTATATAACTTGCATGATACAATTGGTTGTATAAATTATAATTAGGGATGTTAAAGGGCAGGACGGGGCAGATGTTAGCCTTTTCATCCCCACAGTGGGTCCAAAATTCATCCCCATATCCGCCCCGCGGGTATAAGTTCAAAACCACCCCGCCCCACCCCCCACCTAATCCCCACCCAAGACCGGCCTTCCAAATAGAACAATATTAATATTACACATTTTTTGGTTATAATATAAGTCTATTACGGTGTACAAAGTATTATATTTACTATTTTTACTTTATTTTTTCATATAAAATAATATAAAAGTATATAATTGTATAATTAAAATTATATAGATGCATGTGGGTATGAGGTGGGGACGAAGTGGGGCAGGTGAGGCCGGGTGGGTAAGAAGTAGGGCAGGGAGGGGATGTGGCGGGTACAACCTAAAATCCAACCCCGCCCCATCACCCATGACGTGTATGGTTTTTATCCCCATCCCCGCGCCGCGCCACCCACCAAATTGGGACCCATAACTACATCACTTGGGCAGGATGGGGCGGGTCTTCTACTTGACCCGCCCCACTGACATCCCTATGTATAATATAATCCGTGTCATATGTGGCTCAAATTTCAATTCATGCTATCTTTTAAGTTGGTTTGCATCCTAATTTATAAACACTTCATACATATATGTTCTTATATATAGACAACTGTACTTGTATCATTTAAGCACACATGCCAATACATATCTTTAACTATTTATCACTAATTTTGCATTTGTATGTGAGAAATATTTAACAAAATCTAACATGACAATATTATTTTACCTTACATAAAATCACAAGAGACCATTAGAGTAACTTATGCGATAAATTGTGTAAAAATCAAACGAATCATAATAAATTATCGAGCTAGCTTATCATAATACAAAGCCTTCATTAGTTGAAAATTCTAATGTAGTCTTATGATTTTTGACTACCACAATTTTTTAAAATGGACGGCTAAGATTGTTTGAATTTTGATTTATCTTTAATGAGTAATTTTAATTAAAAATTATTTTTTATAATTATTTTATATATATATATTTTAGTTCTAGAATTTCAAAAATATTAAAAAATAATTTCTCGAAGATAAAAATATATTTAAAATAATTAAAAAATTATTTTTAATTAAAATTACTAATTAAAATAAATTAAATAAATAAATAGTCTCAACCATCCATTTTAAAAAAATTATGGCAGTCAAAAATCATAAGACTACATAAAAAGCATCCTGCATTAGTTGCATACTTGTACGTTAAAAAACACACAATTTGCAATATGAGCAAAAATACAATAACCAAATTAGAAACCCTAAAAATCACTTTAATTCCACGATATCCAACACCATAAACATTTAGGCAACTATATATATATAGCTGTCCCCCTCTACTATATGTATACCTTAAAACCTAAACACATTTCCTTTTATCTCTACCCTATCTTTTTAACTGTTTCTTCCCTTTCTCAATCACCAACATTCAGCAAGCAACTAACATAATCTATCTTATCCTCTCTTGTTTAATTAGCTTCTTCTTCTTCTATGATGAACACCAACATGATGGAAGACAAAGTGGGCTCGGAGTTGGCTCCACCACCTCCGGAACATCTTTGCTATGTTCGGTGCAACTTTTGCAACACTGTCCTCGCGGTATATAACTAACCCTCAGTCCCTCACAATTCATATTTTCTACAACGTTTCTTTTAGCTTAGTAATTAACTACCTAGCTACTTGATTATTATCTAATGTGAAAAGAATATGTATGTTTTCAACGAGTCAAAGACTTTCTCATGTTATTAGTTAGACAATAGTACCATACATAATTGATGCTCACTTTGTCGGACATGAATTTTATCAAATTGTTTGTATGAGTAACGTGACAACTAAAGTTGGACGGAGGAAGCTTCGTTACATATACACTTAACAAAAGTGTTATTATCATTTTCGAGTGTAGGTTGTGATTCCGTGCAAGAGGTTGTTGGACACGATAACAGTGAAATGTGGGCATTGTAGTAATGTATCTTTTCTGAGCACCAGGCCTCCTCTCCAAGGGCAATGTCTTGACCACCAAATTACCCTTCAGGTAAGGATTTTTTTTCACCCTTAATCATTATCTCTATCTAGATCTTTACTTCGAATTTTCGTTACAATTTACATTATCTCTGTTAATGATTTATGAAAATTGACATACACACTTTGATTTGTAAAATAATACGAACTACAAGTTGAAAAAATTGCACAATAAGCCTAAGATGCATGCATCATGCATGTATGAATATTGTTATATTGATGGAAGTAAAATTATTGTACGTGTTGTATGTGCTAGGGGTTCAATTTCTTGGAGAAACCAGGGGGTTTTTGCAGCACCATTGATCATCACAGCAACAAGAAAAGCGAACCATCTCCTTCGATGTCATCCACCTTAACCGAGCCTGTTTCTCCAAGGCCATTTGTTTGTAAACGTATGCTCTTTTTTTTCCCATTATATTTAGGATGCTCAACATTTCATCGATTCGTATTTTCCCACATATATATATATATAGCCTGATTATTAAGTGAATGATATTTAGAAATTGATCCTTTTAGTTTTTACTAGCTAGGAAATTATCTTTAAGAAGTAGCTAGAAGAGTTTGTTTAGATCTACGTCTAATTATATTTTTAATTATTGCTTTTTTCAAATGAGTTTTATCTAAGTTAAAACAGTGTGATTATTGATTTATGAAACTGAATTTTTATTGCAGCTCCTGAGAAGAAGCATAGGCTTCCATCCGCTTATAATAGATTCATGAAGTAAGCATCAGAATTATTGTATACTAAAACTTCATTATTTTTAATAATTTATAATTCGTTCATGCATGTAGTCCTCCATCCGGAATTAAAATGTCATATTTAGGTCGAGATTTGAGCTAGTAATGTGACGAGCATCTCTGGACGAATAAAATGGTCGTAGTTTTAAGGAATTTAACAAACCGTAATTCTTCTGATATGTTAGGGAGGAGATTCAGCGCATCAAAGCAGCAAATCCTGAGATACCTCATAGAGAGGCTTTTAGCACAGCCGCAAAGAACGTAAGTTAGCTACTTTTGGATCTTTTTAACATTTTTGAGAATGTGTTTGAATAATCTTATCAAATCCTTAAATCTACCTACACACTCAAAATGTCAAAAAACTATTAAAAATACGTGTAATTTTTTTTTTTTAAAAATAAATATATAATCGCATTACTAAACTAGATAAGTCCGATCCATATTTATTTTGCAATATAAGTTGTACTAATGCATGGGGCATTAAGAATGTAGCTAGAGAGCTATAATTTTGTTACTAAACTAGATGCTTAAGGGAATATCTAAGGGATTAAATATGACTTTTACAACTGATTTTCTCCATTTCTGATCTTTGCTAAAAGTAGATGATTATGAATTTCTTTAAGAAGTACTCGTACGATACTAGATAAGAATTTCTATTTGCATGCTATAGCATATAAATTAGCATTATTGTTATTATCATACAAAGTATATTTTAAAACTAGCTAGCAAGTAACAAAGATTGTTATTCCGTACTTTTAACGTCCCTTAATAATGTATCAAAACTATTATTTTCGAGAAGTTTCAAAATAGAAATCACACTTCTTTTTCCTGTTTTTACTATCTATATTATCCACTGTTTATATATACTCTGTACTAAGTACTAATTCAAAGTGTGACGATTACTACGGGATGGATCGGAGGGTGAAGGAACGAGAAAGGTTTATAAGTTTATAGAGTTTATTTACTTGAGACGGTCAAATTATTCAGGGAAGAAACGTTTATTTTGTTGTTTCTTGAACGTTAACATGATAAAGAAAAATTGTACAATAATTATAAATTCTTCGTATGTGATAATGTTCAGTGGGCAAGGTTTCTTCCGCACACCCCAGCTGGGTCACTTTCGGAGAGCAGCAACACCAATTAAACTACATACTTCGTATGTAAGCACAACTCCCATTTCTTTTAAACGCATGTATTTTATAGATTGATCTTCCAAGTTAATTTGGATTGCCTTAATTTTTAGAATAGTTTTCGCGTTACTATTATAAACTACATCAACGTGACAAGTAACTCTAGGTCGAGTATTTTTTACCAACTTTGCGTTTTATTTTTCTGGTGCATGCAGGGAAGAGGACGCCTTCTCTTTCGAATCAGACGGCTTTAATATATATATGGTTGTAGTAGGGCAAGAAAGAAGTAGAGGATTAGTTAGTACACCTTTGTATTCAGATCATCGTCTAGTATTATGTTATCCTTAATTATGTTTCAGTTTCACCTGTAACTGCATGATGAGATCGCTAAGCTAAGCTAGCTAAGTACTTTAAATGCAATATAAGTTTAATATGCAGTTATGTTATTTGAGCCGTCTTTTCCATAACTTCATCGCATAACACTTCAATTTATCTAATAATAGCTTACTTTTCACATGGGAAGCATAATTGTATTGTGAACAAAAAATGAGAATAAAAAAAAGGCTTTACTAATAATAACCTTTGACCCCACAATCTAATGGTTAGAATAATGGTGAACTATTAATAAACCAGTTAAACCTGATCATTTAAATGACTAAAATTCATTGGATGCTTCATTTTATGGGATTAAGGCCTTTGATTGATTGATTGATATTAATCAAAAAAACTAGTCGTTGGTTTTAGATGTATTTTTACCACGAATGATTTTGAAGTATCCACAATAACTTTCCTTTCCATCCTTATGCAAACTATTTTTACATTGTTACCTGAAGTGATTGATAGATATGGCACGTATATAACTCTGGTGGATTGCTGATATTATCAATCCTCCCTAACTTGTTCGTTTCGGAAGTTGGTCTAATATGATTAAACCCAACCCCACCCGACCTGTTCATTTCATTAGTTGGTCTAATCGTTTCACAGGTTGGTCTAATTTGATTAATCCTCTGACCTAGTCGTTACACAGGTTGGTCTAATTTGATTAACTCCCTATCACCCCCTCTTTTACAGTAGAACTAGAACTTCAGAATATCGTAGGAGGGAAAAATGAAGGCGGCACAGGTGAGGAAAATGGATCAAATGAAAAACTAATAAACTCATCCATTGATCCATAACTTTCTTTCACCTTGGAATTCCAAAGCAAAGATCAGAATCAATCAGGAGGCATTGTAAATGAAGAACAGTTCAAAAAAAATTTAAATTTAATTACATAAGGCCATACATAGGGAGTGACATGAAATCAGATACTTACAATTCATTATCAAAAACATCTGCCATTAAAAAAGCAGCAACATATTCAGAATGGAGCAACAACACTGTACTGTCTTGGTTCATTGCAGCAGGTAGCTTCTGTACTGTAAGGTAAACTGGAAAACAAGTTTTGAGTTTTCGACTTTGTACAGAGTACCACTCACTATTCACGGCCCAATTCTATTGCTTTGGATATCATACATCGCTTGATTACTGCTGGCGGGAAGTACCATGTTCGGGCATTGCAAAAAATTTAATTCGACGGCAAGACTGCAAAAAGTATCATCATAGAATCAGTCAAGTTTGTGTTCAAAGTATTTTCAAGAAATAACATGCAAAGTTATTCAACCACGACAAAAAAAAATTGGCTGAGGACTCATCAGCTTTCTACTGAGCACATGGACTACATGACTCGCACAAAACAACTCCAAATTAAAAAGATCAGAAACTCAAACCAAAAAGTTTTAACATTAAAAATGTAGCAACAAAGTTTTTAAGCTATATCGGGTAGCTTGTGGTAACAAACCACCCCCCCTTCTAGGAAATTCATTCCAGTTCATGTGACCTTTTTTCTTTCTTTTTATTTTCTTCCCTGGAAAGCTAAGCTTCAAGAGCTGTAAAACAATTAGCAGCTTGCCCACTGCAATATTGATGTCTCATAAACTGACAGTTGCTAGACATGTCTACTGTCTAGTTCACCTTTGATCGAAAAATACTAACTTTTCTTCATTAAAGGTTTATTTTCCTTAATAAATCCTATAATTTAAACCTTGATGATCTAAGCAAGCATAATGAATTAGTGATATGCATCATTACATAACTCATAGATGAACACCATGAATTTTAACCAATACATACAGATTTCTATGTATCTTGGAGCCTAGATGCCTATAATAGTATAAATAAGCTAATTCTAGAAACAAATAAGTCAAGGTAAAGGCATATTCATTGCACACAAGTATGCTCGTAAGCACCAGCATGGCAGCACAGAGGCTATAGAATGCATCATATTATGTTGATCAATCAAGCAACATGCCATCAATTATCACAAAGACAATCTAACGCAATGGTATCACAAAATGCTAACCAAATTAAAAGTAAGCACTAGTTGAGCTTGTTTTCTTCATAGGACACCTTTTTTAAAATTTTCCAATCTTTTTCTTGTTTTTTTTAAAAGTTGTTTTCCCCCTCCTTTCCATGGGGATGAAAAACATATGAAGAAGAATGAACACTGCCAGGGTACTAATCTTTATGGTTACATTCAAAAAGGAGAATTATTCCCGAGAAAAAGTTTTTCTTCATTAAAATACCTTGAGCGTTGTCTGTTGAACCAGTGAATAATCGGAGGTTAGAACCATGAATCTCATTTTTAGTCTAAAAGCTAGGATGCTACACAAGTTACCTTCCTTTCGTAGGCTCAAACAAAACATATTCTTATTGAAGGATCTAGATGATGATGTTCAGTTGTTCACAATAACATAAAGACAACATGAGACCTAGTGAATTAAACAATGCCGTACATGTTTGACCAGTGATGACAGGAATGATAGGGAGAATACAAGAATTAACAATTAAAGAATGATTAGTGATTGAGTAAAAGAAGAACTAACATGACTCTACAAGCACGATGTCTTAGAAACATAAATCAGTTATGATACGCCAGCATATAATATTATATATGATAATGATACCTAGGTTTCCATAAATCACCTGAATAGACGGCCTACAAAAGTGATACACATTAAAAAAAAAAATAAATAAATAAATAAATAAAAGGAATTATAAGCCCTGATTTTTGTTCTATTCTATTAAACAGCCACTTACAGGTTCCCTACTTATGTCGTTGCTTCGTTGGCGTTTGTGGTGAGAGGCAAAAAGAATACAAAGAAGTTTTCCAGTTTCCACAGACAAGGTGTATTATTATTATAATGGCGATGACTCAGAGATCGGAGAAAAAGCACCATTTCGCAATAAAAATACCAAGTTGGTTACCCACTAGAAATTATGATTCCATACTTGCACAAAGGGAATCTAAATAGGCCCGGATGACCACTTCTCAGAATGAAAGTTAGTGAAAGACATCTATGGATCTAGATGTGTCCCCCAGACCTCTTTTGACGTCAATTCTGTTAATATTATATTCAAAATTCATGAAGGCCAAGCATTGAAACTCATACAAAATGAATGAGCCTCGGTTTTACATAAAAACAATGTGCTTTTCCATCAATAAGACGGAGAAGGTAGTATCTCGAGTAGCTGTCAGTTTTTTTTTTTTAAAAAAACGTCTACACACGTGCCACTCTAACTATTATACATTTTCCCCCATAAACCTCGTATTTTATGATTCTAGCATCAAATCAAGCTTGTGACACAGCAGCCTATTTTAATAATAGCCATTGGAATTTGTTAATTGTGCATGCCAATTCAGCAGCAAGGAATCAATAAAGACGTCAATAATTATGTATTTTATTCAGTAGGAACGTCACATACCTTAATGCATGCACTGCCCTTCAGAGCAAGAAAAGGTCTACATCCACTTTTTTCAGATTAACTTTGTTTATCCTGCTTCATTTTCAGTTGAGTGTTTTTGCTGCTCAACTCTTTGAAGATTCGAAGACAATTGAAGCAAGTTAAGGATGATACCACGTTCCTTGGGATGGTGACAATCAGTGTTTCTTAAACCCGGCCTTGAAATGCCATCATTTGGGAGATGAAGACCAACAGTGCTGCTATTGTTAGGATTGATCATGGTGGGTCCATCCTCTTCCATTGAATAGATTCCAGGTTCATGAGGGCCACTTGCTGAAACTTTATTAAAAATGCCAGCTGAATGGTTAAGAGAATGCCCGGGATTTGAATCTGCATGGTTGCCTCTGTTGGTCAGTGTCGCACTTGCAGTTTCCAGCAATTGGCTTGATATACTATGTGATTGAGCTGACAGAAGAGAGAGAGCACGACTAGTTTGCTGAATGTTAGATAAAGTCTCATTAGTCGGTTTTGCAAAGCCAGCAATGTCGTCCTTAACATTTGCAGGAAACTTATTTATTTTCTCTCCTACACATCCCATTTGAAGAAGGAAATTTGAGCTCTTGATGGAATTATCAATCCCCTCTTCATACTTACTCGGACCAAGATAAACACTAGGCATCACTTCTGGAAAAGCAAGTGATGAGGAAAAGTCAATTATCCCACTACCTGCAAATTGTAGTATATTATATGGTGAAAATTCTGATACAAAAGAGAAGCCCCACTAACATTTGTTCATTCAAAAAGGGGTGGGAAAAAAAAAAAAAAAAAAAAAAAAAAAAAAAAAAGAAGACAAATAGCTTCATAGAGTTTTGAGTCTTCTGACACAACTTTATGCTCAAAGGTTGCTAGTGAGAAGCATAGGTGATACCAGGAGATATAAGCTTAATATTGGTAACTTTAGAGTAGATCAATTGTATATGTTAAGCTTAATCCAAATATTCGTCCCACCATAGTGTTCATAATACAGTTAAAATGGTTTAGATTATATAATGTAGCATAACAGGCCCTTGCCACAGTCATATTAGATTCATTATTTCTAGAGAACCTTGATCATTAATGAATAAGGGGAGCCACTTTTAAACTGGCTGGAAAGACATATTACATAGAATAATGATGCTACATCCATACAATGATACAAATTATAAAAGAAATAGGAACAATTTCTTGAAATTCTTACATGAAATTTGGCAGGATCTTGTCTCATAAAAATTCACAACAAATCCATTTGACAAGTAATAAAAAGGCTTTTTAGTGGGTAGCTATCAGAATTTTTAAGTGGGAGACGAGACATTGGGGTAATGTTCATGTTGATCTTTATGACTGTGGCATTGAAGAGTTGGTCGGCTCACATCAGATATAAAAGTACAATACCTAGACCACCCAAGAAGTAAATTATTAGGGAGCTTATGACACTGTATAAATTGCGCCATCTTGATCAAGTATTTTCTAGGTATGCCTAAAGTATTAAGTATAGAATATCTAGAGCTTCATAAAATGGCTGAGGCAATCCACTTAATTTTTAAGATCATTATCTGATTTAGGTTTGCATTAAATTTCAAAAGATACTGCCGAACTGGGCTGACTAGATTCCTCAATCTAGTTGGAGCGTAAGTAAGTCAACCTCGCAACTACAATGCAGAAAAGTAATTTACCTGAAAGAAGGCAGACGAATACAAAGAAAAAGAAAAGATTCTTATACAGTGAAAGACCTTCTATCATCCAAGTCATTTATCACTTCAGTGTCATCAATATAGCTTCCATAGACTTATAATTTGAAAATACGCATAAGCAACTAACACATGATGTAAAAAGTTGCTAGTTATTACATTCAACAACTACAATTAATAAACAACTGTTCTGAGCTTAAACTGCAAAGGAGTAATTATACAATTTGTAAGAAAAAATTTCCATGGCAATCTTCTGAAATAATGTGAGCCTTTAAACTTAAAAGACATGTGACATAACATTCATGAGTTTTCAGGCAAGCTACTAGCAATTATTGCATTGAGTCAATAAGGTGGATGAGGCATTTTGCACATTAATGTTTGGATCTTCAAACAAAACTATCATAAAGTCAATTGTTTTTGCATAGTTCTCATGTCACATACTGAATCCCCAAGTCCCCACATCTTTAAATTCGCAGTTACACTATATAAACCTATATCAGGACATTATTTCACAACAAACACATGTTCAGCTGATAAACACCAAATGAATATTTACAGAAGTCTCAAGTCTAGATGGGCACATGTTATAGTTACTAAATATAACTAATAAAGACCTTTTGGCTTACCTGGTTCAGAAGCAAGCTGAGGCTTCCTTCGACGTTTATTATGAGCAGAAAGACGCCTACGACAACTACGTTTGGTGTCGTCAAATTCAGCCAATAGATGAAACCTGGACAATCCAATCACCGGTAAGTAAAGAAAATGCAGTTTTCATGAACGAAATATAATCCCAATGGAAAATGAAAGAAAAAAGGAAACCAATCAATTTAGGATCTTAAAGGACAAGAGCTGGTAAAGGGTTGCCTAAATGATGAACAACACAGATAGTCTGGCAACACTTGCAAATTCAAATAAGACATGTAGCTGACCTTGATAGCTCAAATTGTAATATACAGCATTTGGCTTCTTAATCTAAAGCTAATACCATTCACTAACAAACCTGTATTATTTTCATGTAATGGCAGAAAGCTGATATGTTGTAAAATATATGTACTGAATATCCAATACTAATCTTCAGAAAAATGATTAAAAAAGGGGGGGGGGGGGGGGGGGTTGGCAACAAGACATACCCGTATAGCATAGAATCAGAAACCCCAAAATTGTTTTACGTGAAAGACAGCATAATCTGTTAATGAATGGATGCAACTCGTTTAACATGTATTGTTCCATAACATAGAAAACAATCTACCAACTATTAAGTACTCATACTTGAATGTTGCAGCCAAATCTGATTCAGTTTGGATTTAGACATCAACAAAACTCAAGCTGACAACCATTGCCAATATCCACTGAGAATCATTCCACAAAAAATAGAATATTACTTACAGACAATATGGTTAATTGGTTTATCTTGGAAATGAGGTTTTGTCCTTTAATCAATAAACTAATTTGGGGAAATTAAAACTTGTTAATGTACAGCTCCAACACAAATCTTTCATTACAGTCTCAATGAATCATCTTCCTCGTTGCACTCAGAGTGGCATTGAGGCTGAAAAGTAACAAAAGATTGCTCGGCAAGCCTAGGATTCTTATCATATCGCGCACCTATCAGCAGGTTCTAGATTTTTATTCTACACACCTATCAATAGGTTCTTAAATCAGACAAGAAATTCTGGAAATTCACTCCCAAAACTAAATACAAACTATATTAATCATATTTTAGTCTAATACCATTATAACAGTAAACTAATTCATGAAAATCAAACAGTAGGAAAAGGCAAACCTGCTACATTGCTGACAAAATCTTTTCTCAATCCCATCAACAATAACTTTAGGAGTCTTTGTATGAACATCACAGACCTTATGCCGCTTATAGTAGCTCTTGAAAGAGCTAAGATCCTTGTTACAACCAAGAACTTGACAATTGGAAGATCGATTACTCGACATCGAAGACCGAGCTTTCTTTGCCGGAGAAGACAGCCTAACAGATGATTCAGCTGCATTAAACTTTGAAAATTCACTATCTTTATCAATTCCACCATCTTCCAACCTACCCAACTTCAAATCAACAAGTGGAAAATCTTGTTGATGATTAGATTCTTCACCAAATTGGGGATAATCTGTACCAATTTCATCACTAAAAACCTCCCCACTTGGTTCACTAGAAATTGAATATGATTTCCTAATATCATCAGCAAACCCCAAATCCATTAAATCCATTCTCTCAAGTGCTTGAGTATTAGAAATTAATGGGTAAGTTTCACCATTAAACATGGGTTTAAATTCACATCCCATATGTTTCCAAGAATCCATCACAATTGACCTGCATATATCATATAATTCTATAATCAAGCATAATCAAAACAAATACAATCCATAAAAATAAGAAATTATCAGTAAAATTATATAATAAACAAATACCCACCAAAAATACTCAATTATTTCATAATTTCAACTCAAAATTGACCATTTAAACCCCAAAAAATCATATATTTTTTTAACAACCCATTTCATAAATTAGAGTGAATAAATATAATAAATGGAGAAACCCCAATGAAATTAATGAAAAATTGGAGATGGGTTTTGTACATACCGGAGTTATAGTGAAGCAAGGAAGAAGATGGAGTGAAATACAGAGCGTAAGAGAAAAAGGGAGGATTTTATTCTTTAAAATAAAGAAAGTAAAAGGTAGTGAAGGAAAGTGGAGGCAGATTTCTGAGAAAATCTCATTGGGGAAGCATGTCTCAAGGATCTTTCATGTCCGTCATTCTCACATATATCACTTAGAATCAACTTATAAATTAACAGTGCAAACAAAAAATAATTGTGGACAGTAACCAAACCGTGGTGTGATGGTACCCAACACATGATATCAAATCTCAATTAATTTTAATTCTTAAATGACACAGAGTATTTTATGTCGAAAAAAATAATAAAAAGTAAAATGTTGCATGGTGGTATCCAACACATGAGATAAAATCTTGATTTAATTTTAACCCTTGGACGACACAGAGTATTTTATATCGAACTGAATAATAAAAGGAAAAAGAAAAGGATGTTTAAGGATTAATTTTCCCACTAAATTCAGTTAATGATGAAATTGAAAGGTATAGAAAAAACAAGATTAAGAAATAAGATTGATACTAATTCAGTTATTTAGGTGGAATGTCAAAATTCTGTTTCGTTTGAGGATACCCCATTGGAATTAAAGATATTAGGGCCACAATACCGGGTTTCGCCCATTAAAGAGGCAGATGTATGTCCACTTCTAGGTGGGGTCCACTAATATTTGTGTCCAATAATTATCCTTAACCACAACATGTCTTTTTCAACCCCACAATAGAACTAAGGTTTGAATTTTCAACCCCTTTTTACTTAGGTTCTAGATTCTTGCTTATAGGGGCGTTATATTATAGCATTGTGAAATGTTTTTTTTTTTTTTTTTTTTTTTTTTTTTTGGGCCAATATGAATGCATTAATGATATAAATATATACTAATGATATAAGAAAATATCATTTTAACTTTTGACAAGTGTATTTGTCAACGTAGAATTTTGATTAATTATATCTTTAATTATCAATAAGTATAAATTATGTAAAGTTGATATTCGAAAACTGTATATTGAGTCGATTCTAAAAAAACTTAGATAATTATGTTTAACCTTATGTATAAAGCACCGACAATAGTCAAAGTTGTATATGTGAATAATAAAAAAGTTAAAATGGGGCACTTAAATACTAGAGGGAATGTTTTATGTGTGAACGTATACTTCTATATAAACAAGTAGATTACAACTCTGTGTGTGAGATTCAAACGATGCACTAATCTGCTACTTTGGATGTTATATTATAGTTTTTACGCACTTTGGATAGATGAATTCGACATTTTCACTACTATATTTGTAATTAATCTAATTATCATGATGGCCTTTGCTAATTTAAGCAAGGCTTGTGTGTTGTAGCCCTTTTGGAGTTTTGGATACCTCAATTCTTATGTTCCTTCTAACTAACTGACATAGTGACGACACATCCTTTACTTATAAAATCGTATCTGGTTTGTTGATACATTTTTTTCCATGAATGTCAAGATACATTTTTTTTTAATTGTCTATTTTATCTTACTTTTGACCCGCTATACTGTCTATTATACTACTTATGATAAAAATTTCTCACTATATACTAACTTCACACCATATAAATAAAATCAAAAGTTTAATTAAAAATTAATTACTATTATATGATGGTAAGATTTCAAATCCATTTCTTGTTGATCCCAATTTCAAATCGAATAATTTTTTTGGTGTGCATTCGTAATTGAGATGACATGATATGGTTTTGGCGCATTTAGGAATGGATTAACAATGCCTGCCGCAAATGGAAATTTATGAACATGTCCACCTACATGTCTTATTAAACACATAATGCTAGTTACAACCCCTTCTTGGTTAAAATGAGTTTGGCTTCATAACATTGGATCGTTCACATCGGTAACAAATTCACCCTTTACTTTGGGGGAATGTGCCCTCATTTGACATATTGTAACAATATATCAATTCCAAGTGTTTTAGTGAATTGTTCATGTACTTTTAGTATGGAAATTGGTGTAGGAAATAAAAAAATATTTCCAACAACTAGACTTACGTCTAATGTGCCTCTTAGCCAATAATACTAGACATTAATCATACATGACAAGTTTGATAAGTGGCAACATCTAAGCAATCCACTGAAATCATAACCCAAGGAAATCTTGTTATGATATAATCTTGGGCTATTGCCTTAAAATGATAATAAGAACACAGCTTATTAGGACATATGTCCTTCATACAAAGCTCAACCAATCATTAGGCTACGAATTAGATCAAATTTATCAGTTCACTGGTTTCTAAAAAATCTATAAAAACCCTTTAAAATACGAAATACATTATAGGGGAGAAAAAACATTCAATAGACAAACACAATGTCTTTGCCTCCTTTCTAATAATACCTTTTATCTCGTTCTACGACTTTCACAATTCTTAGCTTCCCCATTTAATTGAAATTACCACAATAATGCCGTTGAAAAAGTTTTCATTATATCACTATTGTCACCCTAAATCAATTTTTATGTTTGAAAGTCCTTCAATTATAAGCAAATTTTTGCCTATTAATCCTTTTATTGTGAGCCAATGAGAGGGAATGTGGTGTCCAAATGAAAAAATCATACTACCCATACTGTCTTATATAATAGAAGATAAATATTTGTCTTCGTTAATCTTCAATAAATTAAGTTCCAAATTGATTCAATAAAAAATGGGTGATGTTATTGCCAAGGCAAAAAAGTTCACTTTCAAGGCATATTATTTACCCGTTGCCCGTAATCTTTGAGAATTTAATTCTGTCAAGCTTATTAATACAATAAATATTTTATAATCTTTTAATAATATATTCTTGCTAATAACAACCAAATTGCTTGATTCCCACATATACTAAATCATGAGTATGACGAGGATCTAAAATCTACCTTCATCTTTCTTTCTTTTTTTTTTCTTTTCTTTTTTTTTTTTTCCGAAAACCTTCATCTTCTTATTGAGTATTTTTAAATTTTTGGTAGTCCTACTTATTGGGTTCATTTTTGTATTTTTATTTTTGAGATTAAATATATTCAACATTCATGTTTGTACTCATTCATTGTCTGAACTACTACTACATACTTCGTATATTCACATATACAAGTATTTTTGTTATGGAAAAATTGTTTTGAAACCAAGCAATTTTCATTTGCATTTTAAGTGTTTGATTATAGAAGTACCCCACGTGAATAATGCTTTTTAATTTTTTTTCATTTCATTGATGTTAATTTTCTTACACCAAAAAAGTATAATTAGAATTGTTTTAATGGCAAATTTAACAGTAAAGTTAGAACATCGGTAAGTATTAAAATAACATGAAAAGACCTTTACTAATGGCTACAAGCTAATCACGGGCTTGATAAATGAATGAAATCAATTAATAAACCAGTTTGGAGGCAGCTATTAGCTAATACTGGTAAATTAATAAAGCTATGATGATAGTGTCGCTTCCAATAAATGTTAAATTTAATACTTGTGTGAGGATTATATTGATGAGTCTATGATGATGAATAATATAATTATTGGCAGATATTGACGAGAATAATTAGTAGTTGGTGTTGGAAAGATTTAATTGCAATATTTAGCTACTAAATTTATAGGCAACAAAAGATACAATTTTTTTTATTGAATTAATAAGTTTGACATATTTAGATTTTTAAAGATTATGGGCAGCTGGTAGATTATTTATTGCCTTGGTAGTGGCTTTTTTTGCCTTGGCAATATCAGCATCCTGAAAAATACATTTCTATATTTATCAATCTCCATAAATTTCAATCCCTTGATGGATTCAATCAATTAACTAAGATTTTCAATCAATTGATCTGACCTCATATGATTCTGTCATCATTTACTATAGGCAAAATTGGCTGCAACACCCTGAAGTATGGTTTAGGTGCATTGAGCACCCTGAACTTTGCGTAGTACCCAAAACACCACCAACTATGGTGATAGGTGCGACGCGTACCTTACATGAAAATTTACGGCCACTTATTTCGAGTAGTTAAATCTTCACTCTCCAGAACAGTTATGCAGTCTTCCATCCACTTGGCACACATGGATTCACTTCCTCCGGTGAAATTATTGGCCGAAAATTTTCATTTAAGGCACGCGTCGAACCATAGTTGGTGGTGTTTTGACTACTACGCAAAGTTTAGGTGCTTAGTACAACTAAGTCATACTTCAGGATGTTACGACCAATTTTGCCTTTACTATATCATCTACAACATTAGTGATAGCTTCTCATTCTTTGCCTGCTATCATATCCTTAAGGGGGCAACGCTGCAGCCCATCTAATTGCAACAGGTTGGCGCTTTTATTCGTGTGGAGCATTTGTTTAATGATGATATTCTTCAAAGTATTGTATCTTTATTGCTTTTCTTAATAAAACTAGTATAATGCTCGCGCGTGCAATGCACGGGTTATATATAAATCATATTCATCTTGCACAAAAATTATAATTATGAGTTTGATTAGTAAAATCTGACCAATATAAATTTGTAATATAATTCAGTAAGTATAACAACAAATTGAGTATCAATAAATTGAAATATATATAATCATCCTATGTTTTATCCCCAAATTTAATATATTTTTTTAATATTAACTAAAATTACAAATGTTGTCATAATATTATCGAAGCATCAACCCACCCTACATTTTCGAAGTACAATCGTACCCGCCAACTTTAAAATGTAGTTAATAATTTTTTTAAAAATAATGGCTTTAAATGTCTTTTTTAATCTACGGATATGCATCTTGCTAATCTATTTAAATCTTTTCTATATTCCATATAATATTTATTACACAAATCATATCATTTTATATCATATTATATCTCACTAATAAATAAAGTCGGTCTCGCAACCAAGCCACGAAATAGCGACACTTGGCATTCCAATTTTTCGCCAAGTGTTTTGACAAATTTGATGCTAAGTAAGCGAATTTTGGATAGATTATTTTAAATAAAAAATGTTATACAGAGTTTTATTATCGATATACATCTAATATTTCATATATACAAAATTAATCTTAACTTTTCATAAATATCCTATAACTCGGTTCTATTTCCATTATAAAATTCGTTTTAAAAAGTTCTTTAAAACAATATCCATATATAATATATTTAATTTATTTTAAAAACAAAACTGCAAATAGTAAATTATTACATAAATAAGCGAGATGATATCTTTTGTTTAAATAATCTGCAATATCAAAAGAACAAATGTTATCAACAATTCGGGCATTGTCCGGGTACAAAACTAGTAACTAATATATATATAGCTAAACTTTTAGCCAGGCCACGAGATAGTGACACTTGTTATTTTAATTTTTCGCCAAGCATCGCGCCACGTAGGCGACAATTAATTATTAATATAACACGTAAGATTTATTTGAATATATATTTCGTAGAATAGGATAAAAAAGTTGGATAGATGTAGTAGGATGAAAAAAGTTATTTTAGAGTTTTATTTTCAGTAAAATTTGTATAGATTTAGTAGGATAAAAAAAGTCATTTTAGTTTTTAATAAAACTTTTGGTTTAGAATTTTATTTTCTATAAAATACCAATAATTCTATACATGACAAATGATGAATCTAGAGACGTACAAAAGCAAAAAAAATAAAAAAAAAATAAAATAAATCAAAGAGACTTATTGCGATTATATATAATCGTTCTCTTTAAGTCTTAACATGCAACCAATCAGAGAAAATGAAAAGATATCATAGGTTTAGACGAGCGTTCTTTTTTGATGTACATTATTAATACATACCCATAAATGGACAAATATGATTGTCAAGTGATTATTTTTTTATTTTTTTTATTTTTTTTTTGGTGTTCCACCCAATTCACCCTTTAGGCTAATTCGGAAGTAAGGATCAGTTTTGGGTGGTTAGGATTCAAACCCCTCCCAATTGTTAAGTGATTATTAATGTAGAGTAAAAAATTTAAGGGAAATTATCTTTGAAACTCTTATGTTTTTTAATTTTCTCTTGGTGACTGCAACAAATCATATTATCTTTGGTAATCATGAATTATAAATATGAATTAACTATGACATTGATGAAATTTTGATTAATAGTTTTATTTATGATTAGTTTTTTTTTTAATAATTAATTAGTTTTAAAAGTAAAAAAAAAAAAAAAAAAAAAAACCACACCCCTCCCCTCCCTTCACCCCAGCCCAGCGACCAACCGACGCCGGCACCGCCCAACAAAACTCTCCTCTTCAACCGGCTCTTGCATGTTTCACCACGATTCTCTCTCCCTCATCGTGCAAATTTAAGTATACCTCCAGATGAATAGATCCTTTCCAAATATCAGTTGGTGTAAGTGGCCTTTTCGTCGAGACAGTATTGAGTCTTGGAGTAAATATGGTTCCGGTCAGTAATGAGGACATTCATTCAGATTGTAGGTGACTACAGTCCCAGGGCTGGGAGTCTAAATTACGAGCAGAGTAGCATCAGTCTATCCCCTCAAGGCTCAAGTCATTACGGTACACATGATACATGATTTTTGTGAGGAGTGGAATGTTGACAGTGCAAGAGGGGAATTTCTATAGATATTTGATTCTAATAGATTAGCATATTCAACAAGATATTGGAGGATGCTCTTATAGCGTATAGCGAGAGACTTTGCTCCTATGCACTTCTTACCAACCCGACAAGTATGCCACTTCTTGTAATAAAAGATATCCGCGACTTTGGCGATTGACACAGTTTTTAAAAGATATTGTAGGTAGGGAGACCATCATGAGAGATGCTAAGAGATTTCACCCACGGTATATGTCGCTGCAATGACTGCTGCTGAATGACCGCCAAAGCCAAAGGTAACTCATTATCTTGTTCGTGTTATACAGATTACTATCATACCACTTCCCATTGAAGAGTCGTCTTTGCACGAAATGTTATGTGCCCAAGCTTTGTATTTCCAATATTCCAATAGTATATTTGTGAATATGATTCACCTTGGGTTAGACATAATTTCAAATCATTTTGAATTTCAAAGTATTTTCTCACGCCCGTCTACAACTCCTCAGAAGGATCAAAACTGTGTTTTCATGTAAACAAATAATTCTGAAAGTGCTTATACACAAACTACCTAAACTTCAACAAAATATTTGTTTCTACACAAACGTTGGGCTACATATGGGCTTGATAACAGAAATGGGCCGCAGCTAAGTGGGTCAGTAATTTGTAGCCCAGTTTTAGACTTTTAGCAATTCTCACAGATTTGACAAGTCAGCATTCTCAGAAATATTATCAGCATACTGCTTAATATACTGCATAGACTAAAGATATTTTTCAGTAAATTTTCTTTTACTTAAATTTTTAATTAGATAAAGGTTGATTTTTTTTATTTTTTCATTCTATTTTTATTACTTACTCGTATATTAATACTTGTAGTAATTTTTTGGTTCAAATTAGATATGGTTATATTCAGCACACTATACAAAGTAATTGGTTTTCATGATCATAATGAATTAATATTTTTTTTTTTTTTTTTTAAATATTAGATTCAATTCATGAATAAAAAGGTTATACGACATTTACAAAAGAGATTTAACCAAGCTAATCTCAATTTCCAACCTTGAGGTTGAAAGTTCAATCCCCACTAGGGACACTATGAGGGTGCTCACTTTCAAAGTTTCTAACTTGCAAATACCGGACTAAAAAATCCGTGAGGATTAAGGTCTTGTCATATGGCTTTTTAATATCTCTTGTATTTACAACCTTTTCAGATGATAAGTATGGTATATATGGTGATTTCCATTAGTAGTTTACCTGCCCTTATATAAATTACCAGTAGATAATAATGATGTCAACGAGCCGAGTCAATCCGAGTATTAGCCGGTTCAAGTTAAGCTTAATAAGAACATCTTGAGCTAAGCTCAAGCCAAAGTATAATCAAGCTTTTTAAAAGCTTGTTTGAGCTTGACTCATTAAGGTTTTTTGTTGTCCGAGCTTGGTTCACGAACAATTTGTTTGAAATCAAGTCAAGCTAATCTTCAAATCTTTATAATCTGAGCTTGAACATGATTCAAACAAGCTTATTAACAAACATTATCGAGTTTATAACCAAATTAATCTAAGCTTGAGCCTCAATTTTTTTTTATTTTTTTCTTACTCATTTGCTTACTTAACGAGAACGAATTGAATTTTGGCCAAACTTGTTCACGAGTAGTTGACGAGTGTATCGATTCGACCATTGACATCCGCACTTGTTGAATGTGGATCAGCGTCAATGACGGTAATTTTAATTTGTGCGTTGAGTTGCTTTCTGTACAAAGGTGGTTAGTGGTTACAACTTACAAATCATAATTAAAAAGTCACTCTACTCCATGAAAAGAATTTGCAAATGTGTAATTATTCCAATCTCTTTTGTCTAAATTTATCATGATTAGATATTAGTTGTTCTGTCAAATTGTCAATAGGTTCAAGACTGAATATTATGTACGACAAAATGGTGAAACAATGTTGAATTATGTGATGTTTCTCATAAAGATACAATCATCAATATGAAGTATTAAATTAGGCCAATATCTTATTCATGAATTTTAAATTATGCATTTATTATACTTGTATATTGTTTGTGTCCTAGCTAATTGAATAATTGGGTATAAGGTACGGTTGGAAAAAAGTTAGCTAGAGTTATGGTAGAGTATTATTTATATGTGGATCTAAGACGATTGTAATGCCGAATAACAACCATCGTAAAGTTCTGTTCATAGGATAAACACAACAATAATGAATATTCAAGTAAGAATACATTTTAATAAAAAACAAAATTTCAATCAACGAAATCAGTTATGATCATTTAAAATAATTTTATACCTACATTAAAAATTAGTTTCAATTAGTAAAAATCTTAAATTTTAGGGCTTGGATAGTGAGTCGTGCATTAAGAGAATAACGGTATAGATGGAGGTGAATAAAAGTAGTTGTAGACGAAGGAATAAGGTAGTGATATTATAGGAGGTACAAATGAGAGAATTGTTACCATTATTTGGAGGGTCATAGTTACTAATCACCATATTAGGGTAATGTAACAGTAGTATTACCCCCAAAACGAGAAAAATAATTAAGGTCCCCTCTAGCCTTTTCTCATTCAATTATTAGTATATAATCACGTAAATTGCCACCACATCAACTCATTATCATTCTCTTCATTTCGTCTTCATTACCTTGCTCGTAATATATTATTCCTAGTCCAAGTGTGCCCTTTTAGTTATATTCGAGTAATCATCTACATGCATCGATCCTTGCAAGAAAATTCTATTCATTGAAATAATAAAGCATACTCCGTACAACTTTCCATTGATTAACTCAAATTAAGCAAAATTCCTTTTCTAATGCGCTGCTGTAGAAATTGATTTTAAGCATAAATCCAAACTTCCAATAGTTTTCATGTATTATTATTCAAAATGGTAAAATAGTCCTGTTAATCATAATAATTATATTTTCAGAACTTCAAGTTGAATACAGATACAAAATCATTTATCATAATAACAAAAATAATAAGCATGTTGCATTGCACTATTTGCATGCACTACTTTTTATTCAAGTCAAAGAATATGATTGTCCACAACCAGATTTCATAGATGCTTTATTAATTTACTAAAGTATCTTATCAAAAAAAAAAATGTTTACTAAAGTACTAAAGATAAATATGTTTGGAGAGTGTCTCAACTCATCAATCATGCCTCATTCTACTCGTGCATTTTTTTCTAGATGTAGACCACTATACCCTTTTAGTTATTTTTTTTTTTTTTATTAATTATATTTATTTTTGCTCTAAGATTTGCTACAAAACCCAATGAGAGAATATTCTTAAAAATTGAAAAATAAAAATATTGTACTCCAAGACAAATAAACATTCCATACTGTACATAACAAAAGAGAAAAGAAAAAAAGAAAAAAAAAAGTTTCTTGCTACATTTTTGAACAAAAACACAATCAAATAAAATTCAAACTATTTTTTTTAACAAGATAAATCAACCAAACAAAAGGTATGAATTTCTCAGCACTACATACAATACCATCAATCCTCATCCCAGAAAAATAAAAAAAAATAAAAATTGTATCAAAGTTTTAAGTTTTGATAGGAACACTAGTAATAGCAGTAGATGAAGATCTCTTGATATTATCCATATGAGTAGTCTCATAAACAGGCAATCCACTCGAACAAAACCCGAATTCGTAATCGATCCGTAACTCGAAAAGATCCGAACTTGAATCACTATCAGCTCCATCATCATCATCATGTTGATTAAAATTCTTGTAGTTTTCTTTCTTCTCTTGATAAACATGTGATGAAATATTATTATTATTATTATTATTGTAATTTTTTGATTTCTCAACCATTCTTAATTTCTCATCAATCCAATCAATATTATTATTGGATGATCCTTTAATAACTTTATTATTATGATCATCCTTGGGAATCCCATTATTATTCCCATTTCCTTGGATTTTATACTTGGATAAAGTAGCTAAAACATCCTTATAATCAGAAAAACTCCTAAAATCTTTACAAGATTTTGTAGGAGTGTTGAGATTATAAGGAGGCGGTGTTCGAAACCCGGAACTTGAAGTAGAGTACATTGATCTTGCATCGATTGCACTACTAGTCGACCTAAAATGGCTAATACTACTTCTCCTTTTCCTCCTATTAATCGGACTTTCATCTTCGTCTTTTAAAGACGAGGATTTATTCGATGATTTCTTGTTCTTAGAGTTAGTTTGACTAAAGAGTGAGTTCAAGAATTGAGCTATCTTACCACCAGGAGAGCTAGGTTGTTTGTATTTCTTTTTATCTTTGCTTTTTTGTTGTTGTTGTTGTTGTTGTTGTTGTTGTTGTTGTTGTTTTTGTGGTTGTTCAACCATTGACGACGGGTTGTGGTGTTGGATGTAATAATGTTTAAGGGAAGGTACGTCGAGACTAACCCTACCTCCCCTTAAATAACCGCGGTTCTCTTCTTTACACACCGCCTTTTGAGACACCAAGTAGTTGTTGATGTTGTTGTCATTGTAGCCGGAGAAGTAATTTGCCGCCTCGAAGACATCGAGCTCCTCGGAGTCGTTCCATCGATGGGAGGGCTTCTTAGACATGGTGGTGGTTGTTGTTGGAGCTTTGGTGGTGATGAGCTAGTTTTGGGAGGATTATGTAATGTTGTGATTTTAGTTAGTTGTGTTTTTTTGAAATAATTGTGAGTGGTATAAAGAGTGGTTGCTTTATAATAATACTTGTAGTTAACAAAGAGAGGGAGTGACTAAGTTAAAATGATAAAAAGAAGGGTAATAATATTATGATGAAAGTTAATGCAATTGTAGTCCCACAAATATATATAAATAGATGTGATATTTTAGCTTTAGTGTAATAAAAAGATGGAAAAAACAAAGTATGGGAGTTTCTTTTTTTCTTTTTATTTTTTTTTATTTTTATTTTTTGGGAATATTTTTTTGTATGGTAATTGAAAGATAATAGAATTATGTTGGGGATTGTGGGGGGCATAGTGCGATCTGTCATACTTTGGATTCTTTGGAAAAATACTGTGGTACTCAAGTTATAATGTATGGGGTTATATTAGCTACATTACCAAGATTAATTTTTGGGGTGTTAGTTATTCAAACTATAAGTGTGGCATGACTTGTATGTGGTTGAGAATGAGGGAGTGAGGGTGAAAGTGACTCAAGCACGTCTTTGATTATATCTATCTAGTAGTATTATAGAGACACTATATGTCTATTGGGGCACCCCTTTGGCCCTTCTCTTTTATCTCTCCCTTCTTGCCTTCTTATGTTGTCGATGAGTGGAAAAAAAAATTTAATTTCTCTTTGCGTGATTTTTGGTTTTGGTTGAGAGAAAAATATATTATGTGGGGGTTACTGAACATGTGCTAATTGGAGTCATCAATTACATGAAATATTGTGATTTCAGGGCAATAGATTGAAAGGAAAGAAAAGTTACTAATATGCCAATAATATGAATGATTGAATTCCTAGTTCTGATCTAGTGTTTTTGCCTAACAATAAACCAAATTAAAGAAAGCTCTAATGTGAGACACATGAAAATGTTACAAAAGGGTTTTCTACTCTCACAATAAACCACCTATAACTTAAATGTAGAAAAAACAACCCTAGGAAAAAAATAAATAAATAAATAGTTCCAAGACATATATATTAGCCGATTTATCCCTAAAATGTTTAAGTAATTTTAAATGGGCCGATTCTTTTCCACTTCTAGCTTATTAGTAATTAGAAACTATCAGTGGCGGACGAAGAATATTTTGTGTAGAGGGGCACTAAATAAAAAAATAAATATTGTATGAGGACTTGAACCTAAGACTTTAGGCACAAACTCAATACATTACTAATATACCACTATGGCAAAGCTAATTTGTTATTACTTTATGCATTAAAATTGTATTTAATCTATAAATTTGTACCTTCACCAAAATAAAAAAAAATAAGTTTTGGCGGGGCCTGTGCCACCCTGCAGGCCCCTTAATTGATCCGCCCCTGGAATCTATATAATGAGATTAAGATTGAGCCCTTTGCATTGTTTTCAAATTTAGTTTAGATAATATGTTGTATTTGATTTCAAGGTACCTTAGCTTGTACGTATTTCGACCATTAATCACAAAGTATCCAACACCTTCCAGTTCTAAATTATTGAGAAGCAAAATCGATTTCAACAAGTCCACAGTTTTAGTAAAGCAAGTACTTGACTTGCCATAATCAACCGTTTCGAAACCAAGTACCTTACTATTTTGCTCACTATAATAATAACTTCGTAGTACCTTGTATTTCAACTGTTAATGACCGAGTAGCCAATCACTCTCAGTTCTAAATTATTGAGAAGGTGACGTAATTTTAACAAGTCCCCAATTTTATTACTCATACAGTCGTACCTAGTACCGGACTTGCCATAACTAACCATTCCAAAACCGGGCGGGTACCTTATGAATTGGCTCACTGTTAATGAATGAACCAATTTGTCAAGATTTTCTTCAAAAAAAAAAAAATAACAATTTGACAAGATTCAATCTAGTAAAATCCATCTTAATTAACCCAGTTCATCTATTTGTCTTGTGGCACATTGTGCGAATGCAAAATGATTATAATGTTGATAATCAATTTTCAAGAGCAGTAGATCTACCAAGAGAAAATAGTTCATTTATGATCCATATGAATATGATGTTGATAATGCAATATGCTAGAAATGTTATTCTCATTTATGACGTTGAAAGTCTATGCGGTCCTAATTCCCAAATATAGTTGTATCCCACGTTATAATTTTATTCATAAGGTTCAAGATCACAAATTCACAATGTAGTAGTTTCAAAATCCACAACACTTATCTCAATATTTCCAAAATATCATAATCAATTTCAATGACACATCATATATTCTTGTTAAAATATTGATTAATATCCAAAGTAGAGGTAAATAAATAAAAAAAATAGCACTCTTAACATATTTTTTAATAAAAAAAATGTTTAAAATAACTAATTTATTTCCATAAAATTAACAAATTCAACAATTTATGCCACATGATCATGTCCTATTATAACAAGAGGTTGGGTTTTAATTTCTAGTCTAGTTCATATGACTCAAGTTAGCACAAACATGGTGCACGTAGTTATAAATCTTATGACCCACATTAATCTTAACTAAAAGAAGAAAAAGATAGTAGCACTTTTTTTCTTTAATTGTGAAATCATACACATTAATTTCACCAATCTAAATCATTTTACTTTAACATGCTATATATGTGTTATGTGTACCATTTTTTAATAGGTTCATCGAATCATATAAGTAGAACATACATTAAAATAAAATTTATGGTGTCCAATATCTTACATCCATGAAGGGTTCACATCAAGAAAACTACATGAACGGATTTAGTCATGGTAGCTATTTATGCCTAGTTATTGTCACGATGATATGGCAATTTTCGTGCCAACGGGAATATGACATTTGTCACGTGCATTATGGTAGATTTCTTCATACTTGAAATTCATTGGGTAGTTTTTTTTTACTTTAGGGATAGTGATACTTGTTGTTACTTGTTACGTTGCTTTCTTTCAATGTAAGCCATATACTTATTGCTATAGTGTCACTCATATATGGTACGCAATCTTCATAAATCACTCGTGTATAAGCTCTTAGAAGAAGATTTCCAATAGAACAATTGTGTAGGAAATAAGATGTTGAAAACTTGAAATCAATAGAATAACAAAGATGAAGAAAGCTATGCCACGTTGAATATACAAGTAGAAGTAGATCTCAAATAAGTTGTGACGCATTGTCTTGTTTTTTATATTTGCCAATTTCGTCAACATTTGTATGTGATTTTCAATGGCAGTTGCTCCTCAAAGATAACACACCAATCTTTTAATCCTAGATCTTAATATGAAGATTGGATTTATTTCAAGAATTACTCAAATCTTTAAGAAACAATGCATTGGACATAATCAATATGATGAGTACATGTTTAATTATGGTTTGATATATATATATATATATATATATATATATATATATATATATATATATATATATATTTTTAATAAGAGGGTAAAGAAATTGAAGATGGAAAATTTGCAAAAAAAAAAAAAAAAAAAGTTTAATTGCATCATTTACGTACATACGTTTTTTAACAAATAATACGTACTATATAGATAATTTTTTAAAAGTAAGTAATAAGATCGAGGTGGAATCCAACTTAACTTCTTATCCGAGGAATAGCAAAGGGGTCAATACCCACGGGAAAGGATAGTGTAAATCGAATCCGAGATAAAGCCATGAAACCGAAGCCTAGCTTGCTCCAAGTGAGCTGATCAACTTCAAGCACACTATATAAGATTACCTAGCTTTAACACATAAGATTAATAATTGTGTATCTACCCTCTTATATATACCTCATATATACAAGGGGAAGTATCTGAAATTTCTATTCATATTATATATATACCTCATATAATATGAATAGAAATTACATGGTCTAGATATGAATAATATGATAATGGACCAATCGAACTTATAATTTTAATTACTAGTAAGAGGATAAAAGGGTCCACACTATTTCATCAAGTGGTGATCTACATAAAAACATATACGAGTCTAATCCAATCCTCTCCTAGTTAGCTAGGGGCTAGGGGTTAGGGGTTAGGGGTTGATGACTTCAAGTGTTTGCCCCCTATTTGTGGAAACAGCCAATTGTATAAAATTAACCAACTTTTAGTTTTTGCTTAAATATTTTCATTGTACTCATTTTTGTACCCTAAAAAAATGTAGCCTTTTTGGTGGAATAAAGGTGTGGTTGTTGTAAACCCCGTAATAAGAGGGTAAGAAAGTGGAAAGGTGCATGGGAAAATTAGTTGAAATGCAAATCAAATGATATACTTGTAATTGAATCCAATGTAAAACTGCTAATAGTGTTAACGATTTTGTTTAAAATATTGCAAATTTGTCTCTTAATGCATATTTCATCTATCCAGAAGATAAATTAGGATTTTCCCAAGGTGGGAAACCTTAAACCTTCTAATCGTATTTTATAGGTTCGATTTTCACTAGATTTTCATGCCCAAAAAAAAAGAGAGAGAGAGAGAGAGCAAAGCACTCGCACTACAACAAAATCATGAGTAAGGCAGCAAGCAAAGATAATAATTCACACCCACAGCAACATAAAAAAAAACACGAGCAAGCAAACCCTAACACCACACGGTAAGGGACAAACAAATCCAACGATCGCACACCCACAACACACAATAACAAGAATTCAAGATCACATCAAATAATCGCACAAAAGATATAAAAAAAAAATTAAAAAAAAAATTTAAAACCCTGGTTTAAAGAGTTCTTGATATTAGTCATGTTAATTAAGATTAGGAAAAGAGAGAGTATTTGAGAGTAAATGCCTTAAGTCTCATCTATTAACCACAAACGTATAAATATAGGTTACGTAAACTAGGGTTACATACAAAACCCTAATATACACAATAAGGAAACTATACAACATACTACGTATATTGTATATCCTTTCCTAATAGGTTGTACAAAGATGGTGTTATAATATATATTAACAAATTTTTTACAAAATCGTGATTGTGACTTTACAATTTACGTATTCCTACCTTTTAAAAAGTTTGAGATAATTCTTATGAATAGTTTTTGGATAACTATACCTAGAGCTGTCAATTCGGGTAAACGGGTCGGGTTTGGGTCGGGTTAGTGTAGGTCAGGTCAACTTGGGTCGGGTCAATACAAGTTAGTGTCGTAACCTATGCAAGTCGGGTTCATTTGGGTCATGCTTGAGTCAGGTCACGTCGAGTCATACATCTTATCGGGTTTGGGTCAGGTTTAGGTCGGGTCAATAACAGGTCAGGTTACATTCGGGTCGGGTGAATAATAGGTCTGGTTTAATTCAAGTTTTATCACGGGTTAAAATGAGTTAGGGTCATTCTTGGGTTCGGTTTAAGTCAATAATTTGCGGGTTATAATCAGGTCGGGTCATTCTCAGGTTCGAGTTGGGTTTGGTTCAAGTCAATAATTTGCAGGTTATAATCAGGTCGGATCATTTCCAAGTTGGGTCATTCTCGGGTTTGAGTCGGGTTCGGTTCAAGTCAATAATTTTCGAGTTATAAGCAGGTCGAGTCATTTTCAAGTCGGGTCATGTTCGGGTTCGGATCTCAAATATTGGGTTAATCTTGGTTTCAGGTTGATTTCAAGTCGGGTCATATTGAGTTCGGGTACATTTTTTGGGTCGGGTTGTTAACAATTCATGTATTGACGTTC